CATAACCTCATCATCCGGTTCCTCAGGGGCGTTAAGCGAATTAATCCACCCCGCCCCCTCTCATGCCCTCTTAGGATCTCGCCCTCGCTACACAAGCCGCGTCAGATCCCTTCGATCCTCGACTCAGTATCTTTCTGTCCCTGAAGACAGCTCTGCTGGTCGCGTTGATATCGATTAGAGGGTCGGGGACCCGGAGGCATTTTTCGGTCAGTGACTCGTGCCTGTAATTGGGCTGGCTTCTCTCACGTCCTGAGACCCCGCCCGCGATATGTGCCCAAGGTTCCTACCACTCCGTTTTAATACGAGGTAGTGAGCCTGCAAGCGCTGCCCTCGGAGGAGGCAGACCCAGCCCTTCTTATTGTCCAGTTCGCGTTTTGCGTATTATCCGGACCGCACTCAGAGTTTAGATCATCTGAGCAGCTCTTCGTCTGTTATAGCGGTCGGCAGCAGGGAAGTGCCGTACCGAAATAAGTTCCCACTAGATTGTGGATGCCTTTCTTTCACTATCAGAGCCGAGATGAGCCGCGTCCCCCGAGAGCGCGTGCGCACTCCACTCGGAGCTTCGCATCCTCTCGAGCGCGCGCACGCGGCGCCCCTCTAACAGACATCTGTAGAGCTGCGGGCTGGGTGACACCCAACACATTTGCAAGGTTTTACAATCTGCGAGTGGAGCCGGTTTCCTCAAGGGTATTAGGTAACCCTTGGTGATTGAGGAAACAATTCGGTAGGGTGTTGAAACACGCTTGCTGCGCCATTTTCCCTAACACGGAGATACGTGCGCCTTTTTATCTGTCAGTAAAGTTCCCCGTCAGGTGAGCCCTGCAGATTCCTCCGTGGCCCCCAGCACTGACTCAGCGGAGGAGTCACTTGCTGGCCCACTACGTTGTAGGTCTGCCCGCTGGTCAGCCCGCGTTTTGGGTAAAGGTGCCTGCTATGCGTGATCCCCACTAGGCGATCCCATATGCTTATTCCGCCACGGTTAAGTCCCCCCCCTGGGCGGACCCGTGTCTTCCCTCCCCGCTAACCACTCTTTTGCTATGCGTACTCCCCCTTTTTAGGGCTAGTCCATATGTAAATTCTGCCATCTATCCCCCCTTGGGTAACGGATGGCCTCCGCAGCGTCCTCCCTATCGGGATTGCACGCTTCCCAACGTACTGTCGTATTTTCCTAGAATTATCTAGATGCTCACGACTTCCCAAAAAATATATATAAATCCGTAAAACTTCTGTTGAAGTAGGATAAATTAGGGCCAGGGACACGTTGGAGGACCGCGCCCCCCATGATGTGGGTGCGTCACGCTTGCTTGACTATCTCCTCATCGGGGGTGTTGGTAAGGTGCAGTCATTATGGCGCTTTCAATGGGCTCCCAATGCGTGGATTTTACAATCAAATCCACTTATAGTGCTGAAGTTCCCCCCGAAGGGGAACGTTCGAGGTTACTAAAGTAACCCTTCGTTCCCCGAGGAGGGGAACGGAAGCACTATACTCCGTCGCCATAATGACTGTCCCTTAGCTGTTGAAAGTCTCTTCAGCTTAAAAAGGATAGCGTCTGCTGGCGCCAGGTGAGCTTATATACTCAGTTGATTGCTTATGCCGCTCACCTGCGCAGGCTTGCGCTGCCAATTCATTCTTAATTGGCCCGTTCAATACTCTTTCAGACGAGTAGCTTCTGAACCGAACCTCCCAATGCGTGGATTTTACAATCAAATCCACTTATAGTGCTTCCGTTCCCCTCCTCGGGGAACGAAGGGTTACTTTAGTAACCTTGAACGTTCTTCAGGTCAAAAGGTAAAGACTTAAGAGTAAAATGCAAGAAATGCCCGAAATTTTCATCGCATATTTTGCAAAAGGTTGCCACATAAAGTACTTTTAGGTTGCAATGATACAAAATATCAGCAGGTAGGGCAGTCGCCTCACAGCAAGAAGGTCGCTGGTCCGAGCCTCGGCTGGGTCAGTTGGCATTTCTGTGTGGAGCTTTACATGTTCTCCCTGCGTTCGCGTTGGTTTCCTCCGGGTGCTCCGGTTTCCCCCACAGTCCAAAGACATGTGGTATATACTGGTGAATTGGGTAAGCTAAATTGTCCATAGCGTATGAGTGTGAATGAGTGTGTATGGATGTTTCCCAGTGATGGGTTGCAGCTGGAAGGGCATCAGCTGCGTAAAACATGTGCTGGAAAAGTTGGCGGTTCATTTCGCTGTGGCGAACCAGGATTAATAAAGAGACTAAGCTGAAAAAAAATGAATGAATGAATAATACAAGTTTTTCCAAAATTCAGGAGGGGCTGACTAAGGCCTAATCTTAATTCTATGCCTTAGCCCTTCCCCTTAGTTTGGTAGGGGTATGCCAATTCTCTTCAAAGGTGTAGTATTAAGGGGAAGGGCTACATAGCCCTTGAAACTGATACTTTTCAGCAGCACACTCTTACCAAGGGGTAATAAAATTTCCCAGAATACAGCATCTACAAGGCAGTTTTGCTGCACACAGAAGTAAGGAGATGCGCAAATTAGTATTTTTGTCATTATTACGAATTTTTCAACAAACATGCACGTTTTAATACATTCATAACGATGTTCGTGTTTTACTGTCATGCTTTAAAAAAGCGATGTGTAAAAAAGCTAAATTTTGATATCTATAACCCAACACATCTTTCACATCTTCCCTCAATGACACTTGAAAACCCTGACAAAAAAGTCTAGCAGCTGTCAATAAGCTTTATACAGTGTCTGGTATAGTGTTAATGTTGTTTTCCTGTGTTTAAACAAAGACTGTAAAATACACAAGACATAACACTCGTATAGTTTTGAATGGGGAAAAGTGTAACGGTCATTATGGCAAATAAAGTCCCACCTATTAGTACAGGAGCCAATCATCAATCGCTATAGACTGACATGTCTCCAAGGAAGAAGCTCAGACCAGATGTGTGTTTTTGTAGTCAACAAATGAACTGATATCTCAGCGAATACTTGCTTCATAGACATAAGAAACATATCCACATAAAGCCTGTATGAAATAAAGCTGTCTGCATAAAACGGACGCGATGTACAGTCTATCCTGTCAAGCGCACATCACATGACAGCAACTACTCAAACACCCACAAACTTGTAGACAGAGTCGCTGTCATCTCTGGAGGAGATTCGCCAAAGACCAAGTTGTGAATTACTTCAGAAGAGGAGAGCAATAAGAGGATCATTACTTAGAAGATAATAATGTGTAGAATGTCCATAAATGAGGTTGGTGTCGTGATCTCGTTCCTTTCAAGTGCACCTACGCACTAGCTTGGGCAAACTAAAAAAATGAAGACTTTGTTTGGTTTGAACGTTTTAAAATTAAACTTATGAGAGTTGTTTAATTTTATTTCTGATTCCATGTAATCGTAAGCTTAGCTAACAGTTTTGGAGAATTTGATGTTCCCCCAATCAGACCGAATGCCCAAGCATACTGCCTGAGAGGTGTTTTAAAGATGGCTGCCAAGTGAAATGACTTGCCTTAAAGGGATTTAAGTTTAGATGAATTTTCTACGATGTGAATGCACAGTACATTATGAGCTTATTGTAACATTATATCGTTATTGTTATGGTTGCCGTACATTTGTAGTATTTTTACCTCCCGTTTTCTTTCTCTCTCTCTCGCTTCTTCCCAGCCTGTCATTTCCTTTAGGTCTGCCTTTGCAACAGCCGGTTGTTCGGGAGACCAAATCATCATTGGGCGACATGGCGCAGCATATATAAAAAAAAAAAAAAAACGCCAGAAAGAGCAGAAGAAAGCGCTTTTTCCTTTGATCTCGTTTTTGTGTGTTTTTGCTGACATGATTTTGTTTTTCGTTGTTTTTGCTTAACTTTTGTATGGGTAAAATTATTTTGCATTATTTTGGCCAATTTTGAGACACTTTTTGATTTTTGTACATCTTTATTTTGATTGTTTTGTTTGTTACTTTCTGGACCAGCTCTCATCCAACAATATTGAGAGATATACTTCAAGTTCTTTTCTCAGAGTAAGGTGGATAGGGAAGATGTTGTACGACTTCCATTATGCAAACACGAAGATAATGCATTTTTAAAGACATCAGGTAAGAAATGAACGGCATCTTTGTATTAATTTTTCTACAGTTCAGTGTAGGGAAGAATATGGCGCTCGACGCTGAAGACTTTTCTTTTTAAGTTTCTAGTAAGGAAAAGGGTTGTTTATGAGTTGGAATTGTTTTGGTATATTTCTTTCTTTCATTTGGCTTCACTATCGTCCCCTTACTCTTGAGCTGACCTAATTTTGTTTGATACTTTGTTCGAATTTGCTACTTTATTATTATTGTAAATATTTCTTCTTTTTGTATATATTTTTGGGCATTATTCTGGTTTCACCTTTTTGTACATGAAATAACTTTTGTTGGCAGTTTTGTTGTTAGTGTATTTAGCTTGCACCCTCACATTGTGAAAGACCACACCTTTTTAAATGTTATAAGCTAGACTAAATTCAAGAGGTTGTAACAGTTATGATAACATAATATCGTTGCCTTCAGTGATTTCCTAAAGGTAAATACCGAAAGATAACACAACTGGAATAACTACAGCAGTCGCCATTGTCTATCTCATATGAAGCTCGCGATGACATATGATGATGTGTGCAGGTGATGTAGTGGTGTCCCATTTCTTAAGGTTAAAATTTGAAAGTGGTAGGGGTAAAAATATTTGGAATGAATTTGGATTGGGCCTAAGTACTGAGCAGACAAAAAACAGCTACAGACAAAATTGTAATACAACCTGGTGACTGCACTTGTAAACATGGTACAGAAAAATAAATTGTGATAAATAGGAAAAGTAAAAATGGCAAACCAAAATCCTTGATATTCAATGACTTGGACAAGAGATATATCAAATTCCCTGACTTTCAATGTGTGGGTCAGACCTTTTGAAAATGTCATGATATTGCCATGGCCTGTGGGAACCCTGCACATTAAAATGCATTTGAAAGTGATGCTATAATGTGTCTATTTATACCTCATACCTGCTGTTTGGGAGGATCGGACTGATTGGGAGGTGTGTTGTTAATGTCTGTTCCAGTTACTTCTTCTCCAAGCTCTTCTGTAGGTGTTGTTTGTTGGTCTGTGTCATTTCTAAAATAAGAAAACCAGGTTTGAGCTGAACAACTGAATCCAAGTGTGAAAACAGTAAGAAAATTTAGCTCCACTTTAAATTCAGCATTAACCGTTGAGCTCCATGGAGGCGTTTGTGTATGTGCGTGTTTATTTACTTGTTAGTGCTGTCAGAAATGCAGTCATGAGGTTTACAGCAACTCTCTTCAGTCTGAGTGTGAGACATTACATCGACAGGCTCATCTCAAAGAGCAAAGAAACAGAAAAGAAAATGTTTACACAATATTCCCTGCTCCTAAACACTTCATTCAGACAGCAAAGTATTTTTTAAAAACACAATAATACACAGCAGACAGTTCTGTTCTTTAAATTGGACTGAGCAAGTTGTGAGTTTCTCAATCTGTATCGAGTGGTTGTTTGAGTGCCAAAATCTGTGGAAGCTCATTCTGCCACATAATAAAAACAACCTTGCTTAATTATATTAATGACAATAAAGGATTAGTTCACCCAAAAATGAGAACTCTGTTATTAATTACTTTGAATCATTTTGTCTCGCGACTTCCGGTCACATTCACTTTCATTCATTTTTTGACGTTAACAACTGCTCGTTACGCTGCTTGATGTTGCAATTTAATATTTTCTTATTATAGTAGTTTGGCCATTTTCTGCCGTTTATTATTCCTAGTCATTTCTCCCATAGGCGACTGAATCGGAAGTTCTAAGACAATCACGAAAACTGGCGCACTTCCGCATTTTAGAATAAGGTCAATATAGTATGCTAAAAACAGTATGTGAGCCGAGTAGTATGTCTGAATTCATAGAATTCGAAAATCATTAAGCGAGAAGTACCCCGGATGACTTACTACTTCCGGCGAGATTCTGGAGTGCGCATTCCATGCACACTGCGCTATCCCATAATGCCCCATGAGAGAATTCATGAATGGAAGTGAGGTGACACAACTGACACAGATAGGTCACGTGACCATGACAAAATGGCGGATGTAGTATGTCTGAATTCCATTCATACTTTTCACATTCATACTGTACAGAACGTACTTTTCTAACGGCTGATTAGTATGTTTAAATTCATATGCAGTACCTACTGAGTAGTAGGCGGTTTAGGACACAGCCTTAGAGTTACTTGGTCACACTAGAGTTTGAGCATGCAAAATTCTGTCGTTCTGCGCTTCAAAAAGGGACGGGATTAAACAAATTGATTTGACAATAAAAAAAGCAAGGGACTGGTGCATATTTGAAATTTCTGTTCAGAGAGGTCATATTCTTGGATTGGTCTCATGCAATCACATGATGCAATTTCGCAGGTTAAACTCCAAAACTTTTCTCACAAACTTCCGTTTCCGATCTGCCGTATTCTCATGTGTATGAATGGAAGCTTTTGGGGCGAAACGTGCAATGTGACCTCAGCTTGAGTGTGTTGAAGCAAGGTTGAAAGGAAACTGTGCAGGGTTACGGCCCTCCAGAAACTTTGACACCCCTTCTCTAGAAGTTATCATTTTATAAAAAAAATAGTGATGTCAGGAACACATTTTAATCCATGAAATGGATCACTTTCCTGTATTGGTGTAAGTTAAAGGATTAAAACATTTTGTGTCTGTTATTGTTAGTAGATTATACACAACTAGTTATCCTTGTTTGCAACTGAATTTGCACTTTTTTATTGCAATAGTCATTGTAAAAATGTGCCAGTGGTCTTCTATTTTATTTTGTATTGTCAATGCCTGACCAGCTAAATTTTCCACTCCCTTTGGCGCTTTAACAAAATTGGGCTCTCAACCTAATTTGCCCTGTTTAATGAATCTGGCACTTGATGTCATGATTATGATGTAGCACAGGTTGATGTTTTTCTTATGTGGCAAAACAGGGCTCTTATAAGAATTGGGTCTGAAAGTTGAATGGTACTGGGTATTCAGCATAGCTCCCTCACAGCTACACACACACACGCACGCACGCACACACGCAAGCACGCACGCACACGCACACACACTTTACACACACAAACACACACACACACACACACACACACACACATTATTACACACATAAGTAGAGAAATCCACTCACTGGATGGGGGCATCTTTTGTGGGGTCTTTGACTTTTTAGAATGCTGTATTGGAAAAAGTGAGATGTGTCACATTTTTAGTAAGACAATATCTAAACGATAGATCACTTAAAAATGGCATCATTTACTCATCTTAATACTATTCGTAGTACTTAAAAACAAATGACACTTGACATTAGGGCTACACAATATACCTTTTTAGAATCTAAACTAGTTTCAGCAAATTTAACTAACTGCTTATTAGCAGGAATGTTATTGAGATATTTGCTGCTTATTATTACTTATAAAGCACATGTTCTGTATTATCTTATTCTACATCCCTTATCCTACTCAATACCTAAACTACCGTTCAAGAGTTCACACTTGCCATGCTGTCCCGGGAGAGAGCCCCGAGCACATAATGTCATCGAGCCCGGGGCTCCCTCCCGTTAGAAGGGCGAGAGGGGAGTTCGAACTCAAGTAGGTCTAGAGAACTCTCCTGCTTGTCGTAAGAAATGTAAACTAAGGTTATTTTAGGTGACAATTTGGACTGATCATTTTGATGCTAGTCACTGGGCCGCCAAGTTGCCCTATCGGATAAAAATGGGGGAAAGTAGGGGTGGAAGGGAGGAAACTTCAAGACGAAGAAAACTGGAGTGAAAAGCTTTGGTCATTTATAATGCGTCCGTAATCATCTGATAGGGCAGATTACGGAGCTAATGTGGTGCCAGCCATGTTGATCATAAGCATGTGATCCTCTCGAAATTAGTTTATAAATAAACCGCACTAATAACTATTAATAAGGAGCAAATTGGGAGTTGGAATGGTTTGCCAAGAGCAAGAATTGGACCTTAAAATAAACTGACCAAAAATTCTTTTCAAGTATAAGAAAGTATATCGCAAAATATATCGCAGAAAAATAAAATATCGCAATATCAGATTTTTTCAATTTCGTGCAGCCCTACATGACATGACATGACCTTGGTAATAGATCACAAAAGATATACATCAGATGTTTTGTACATTTTGTCGACTAAAAACAAATAAAAAAGTTTTGACAAGCTTTCTCTTCTTCTGATCTGAAATAAAACACAGGCAGTTTTTGGAAAGACACAAGGGCCAAGCAATGATGACAGACCATTCATGCTTTATGTTTTTTAAACTAATTAAAAATATATACCTTTTTATGTGCACAGTGCCGATAAATCTCATAGGGCAATTGAAAGTCAATCCGCTTCAGCCTCAGATACTTTCCTATTTTACACAGAAACAGCCAATGTATCACTATAATCCAGAAGTAATCATACATTTATAATATATAATAATATTTTTGTCATGTAATCAGAATTAGGTTTTAGAGTGTATACATTACACAAACACTTCTGACTACCCATTAAAAGTTCCCCAAAAAATTTAAATTTGCTCACCATTTACTCACACTCAAAATATGCTTCACTTTTGTACACATCATAAGACAGTCTGAAGAATGTTTGACAATGTATCCACTGACATCCATAATAATAAAATTCTATGAAATACAATGAAAGTCGATAGCTATGTGAACACTCATCTATTTTAATGCACATTTTGGAATATTGCATGCTTTTTGGAACGGAAATGCCAAGACGTGCATACATTTTGAAAATGTGCATAAAAACATGGACAACTCAGCAGGCCAACCACATTCCACAACATCTGAAATGTTGGTTTGGTCATTCTAATATCACTAAGCCAACATCCATCATCACAGTGGTTCGGTATTATTTCATCTCAGAATGCCTTGAGTTGCTTCTAAAGAGGTCTCAAGCCTCAAAGCTACCCCACCTTCACTGCTTTTCATCTTCTGAAGTGCAAGTAATATATTATATCAGGAAAAAGTCACAGTGTCTTCTCCTACTTCAGCAAATTCAATTGTTCTTTTTGATATTTGTATGTTAGGAAGTGATTGTTTTGTTCTCTTTAACTCATTGGATGAAAAGTTTTAAGCGTCAGTGTTAATTTTGACAGCAATGTTTGATTTATTTCTTAGTCTTTTGACTAAAATTCCAATTTATTTTGAGTCATATTTTAGTCTACTGAATCATTTTAGTTTTACTCATATTTTAGTCAACTCAATCATTTTAGTTTTAGTTAAGTTTTAGTCGATTAAATTTCATAAGAGTTTAGTTGATTAAATTAACTCTAGATTTAGTTGACTAAAATATATTTGGTTTAATTTAAGTGTAATTTCATTTAAATATTGTATCTATTTATTTATACCAAATCATGTCTCATTAAAATGTCTCATTAAAAATAGCTTTTCCATTAAAGACCAAAAATAAGATATTAATTGTTTATTTATATCATAAACAATATGTAAAATTATCTGTCGGCAATAAATCCACATGAAAGAACAGTAGCCATCTGAAAATGCAGAATTTTGAAATTACTTAGCAAGCCCTTTATGTTAACGTGGTAAACTACTAGTCCTTTTGATCAGTCTGTTGAACGGTTTCAAGTCATTAAATCATTAAAAGGGCTTAAAATAATTTAAGTCCACTTTGCAATGTAAGTCTATAGTAAGCTTTACTGTTGTAGTTGCTGTTACAGTACATGCAGGTGCTTAGCTGTATACCACTGAGTAAATAAGTAGATTTATGACAAATGACTAGCAAATGATAATGTGTTATCTTGTAAAATGTGCACTTAGTCACATTGCTCTGTTTACTCACATAGAGGAATTATAAAGTAATGACATGTAAAAAAAAAAGTGTGCTTCACTTCAAGGCAGTTTTGTTACCTTGCCTGTTAATTAAATGCGACTTTCTAATAGGCAGAGATTATAGCACTACACTACCTTATAGTTAAAATTAACACTCCATTAGAGTTTATATGAGAACCACTATAATAGTGTTAAAATAACACTTGAAAGAGTTAACATTATCAACACTGAGAGAGTGTTGATTCGCAAACTCTTATAGTTTTAAATATCTGTTAAATTTTTGAAAATAATACCAGCAGCTGTGGTTGCCAGAATGTTTCCGTAAAAAAAAAAAAAAACGGAAGTTTTATAGAACTGTTTAAATTTACGAAAAATAACCGCATTTCTTCAACTGATACTATGTTCAGTTCACAAAATCGTAGCTTAGTGCACAAAAACATTAAGTCTTTAGATGCATTAATATGTTCATGTGTGTACAATTAACAAACAGATTCTCACTGCGTCAGTAACTACATAGTTATCTTTAAACAAAAGAAGATGCAGAGCAACATCAGATACTCTCAGTTTATCTTGGAATTGAACACAAATGCTACTTTTCTCCACAATGGTGGCACAAAAAACGTTTTGCTGTTTTTTTTTTCCTTTCTTGATTTTACGGAAAAATACCGGCAGCTGTGGTTGCCAGTAATCTACTGTTTTTAACACTTTACATTCATAAATTTAATCTACAGAATATTTTTGTTAAAAAAACATTCCACAGTTTGTATTTTTCATTGAACTCATTACATCCCTACAGTAAAAAATAATCACATCACAGAATGACGTCCTGAACGAAGAAGTTTTTGATTTGTGGTACAGCTACACTGTAAATGGCTGTTGTCATGCCAATCGCTGCAGACGTAGACAGCACATGTGAACCTAGAGCTAATGGCTGACTGTGTACTTTACAAGAACTCTAGTAATTTTGAGCAGCATCGTTTTTTTTTTTTGTGTGTTAGTTAGTTTATGGAGGAGTTGCACATTTGTAATGGGGTATATGCCGAAGCATGCTCATAGGACTTTTAATTTGCCAGTAACCTGGGTTAGGTGCTTCCGGCGAATTGAATGCCAATGCAAAATCCGGTGCGTTTAAGGTCTGTTTTCTTTAAAAATCAGCGATCTCAACTAGCTGAGTGATATCTGATATAAAGTGGGTCTCAGATTGTATAAGAAGCACTGCATTAAATTACATTTCCCCCGCCATATCTTTATAATATGAGCATTTATTTTACCCCAGTATATTCAATGGAGCTTCTGCGTTAGCCTGCCGATTCTGACAGGAGTTCACAATAACAGGTCACCGGAAGTGTATCAGCATGGGAACAGCACTAGCTCGGTATATACCCTATTATGTTTTGTAATAGGTAAGAAGTTTACTTAAGCATCGCATTCTCTAAAGATTACGGTTTTGTTTCTGCATTTTTCTTTGGTTGGTTTAGTGGGTTGGGGTTTAGTTAGATCATTTTGTTATATTTATTTCTATGTTTTGGCAACTCTCCTGTTTTTTTGTTTAACTCTGTTTTTTAAAATTATATTCTAAATTCCTATATTCATTGTTTGATATTCTCTGTTTAATAAATTGTTAGCTTTTTGTTTCACTTATCCATCCGTTGTCTGCTCTAATTTTCACCCAGCACCATTAGAGACCCACTGAATGTTATGTCTCATCCACCTTAACAACTTATACACGTAACAAGCATAAATAAAATTCACATCTTTAAATGAAAACATAGCTACTGGCTACTGGTTTCCAACATTCTTCAAATGATCTTCTTTTGTGTTCAACAGAAGATAAAACTAACACAGGTCTGTAACAGATAGGGTGAGTAAATGATCACAGAACGATTGGGCGAACTATCCCGCTGTGGTAAAGTTATCCCTTATTAATAGTAATAAGTACATATTCTGAGTAGAAAGTTCTCAAGAAATGTAAGTTTAGCTTAATTACTATTCATAAGCAAATAGACTGCCATGCCATGATGACATTTCAACCAGCCTGCTAGAACAGCAGCCCCTCCCACTTCAAAATACAAACACTAAAGGTCTCATCATAGACTGAGATCATTTGTTCAAATGTCAATTTCAGGATTTTATAGCAACCTTCAAATGACCCCACTAAACACGCACACATACACAAACTCACCTACGTGTAAAGGTGCAGGAAGCAGGCCGTGCTCATGCTCTTCAGGATCATACTCAAGGCAGTCTGTGTGTACTGGAGAGGACAGACTCTTGGGGCTGTGCCGAGTAAACAAACAGACAGACGATTCGTCAAGCTCTTTAAACGAAGGATGCGTTCAAACAAATACTCTTAATACTTGTTTATGAATACTTAAGAGCCCACTCACTTATCGCTTTTATACACATCCGAGTAAAGCCCCGCCCACTCATATTTCTTTTCAGAAGCCTTGGCGGATCTGCTCTCTGATTGGCTGATTGGATCTTGGGAAGGGAAGAATGTGTCGCTGTGTGTTTGTGAAGGCTTGTGACTCAGAGCTACGTCTTCGTCTAATTGCCCTTCGCTGCACCAAGAATCATCTCTTTTTCTCTTTCTTTTTCGTTTCTCGTGTTGAGCCATGTACTCAGTTGCATTGAGCTCTGCATAATCACCTCTTTCATCTTTTTTCCGTTTTGCAGGAAACTCTGTCACTTCTTGATCTACAAGTACTGGTGGTGGTGGTGGTGGAGAAAAGCACGGTGCAGGGTTTTTTCGTGGTCGCCCTCTTCCCCTTCTCTTCACCTCACCTCCTGTGACCGCTTGACCTTTGGGACTCTTTTTCCTGAGAGGATTCGAGACATGTTTCAGTTTCTCCTTCTCTGGTGTTGAGTCTTTAGAAATACCGAAACAAGAAAGGCTGTTTTTGGTGGCAGAACAAGAGGAAAAAAGCCTGATATCGTTGGTCTGAAAGTGTGTTTTGCTGATGCCGGGTCTTTTCTCCCGTGCTCCCCTTTCTTGGCCTTCATTAAAAGAAAGACTTGCGTTGGAATAGTGCTCACTGAAGAGTGAACCTCCGGGCTTGAAGCTCTCTGAAAAAGAAGAGGAAAAATGTGAGCGCAAATGAATTGCACCCACTGATGGCATCTTTAATTTGCATATGCTGCCTGCATTGATTTAGCTTCACCAAAAGAATTATGCAAATCTGGAGATCCCCAAATGGGCAAAAAAGCTGTGCTGATCGCTTCAGTGATGCAATTTCTAAGGCCATGGTCAGTTCTGAGTGCAATGTGAACTAAAACTACACTACAACCTGGTGCATTGTAATATCATTTGATGCGCTGCTTTAAAGCGTTCTTATTATGCCTCTTTTGCAAGTCTTAGCTGTCCACAGAAATGTGCCTGTGAAGTTTTACATACTGGTATTATTGCTTTCTCCTTTGCATCAACTGTCAAATATATACACAAGATTATGTATAAAACATTTATTCATTTTCCTTCGGCTTAGTCTCTGATTTATCAGGGTCACCACAGCAGAATGAACCGCCAAGGCACTAACTAGGGCTGGGCGATTTGGCCTAAAATCTAAATCTTGATTAAATGAACATTTTAACTCAATTACAATTAATAAACGATTATTGTAATTATTTATTTACATTTTTCCCCTTATATTTCACTGACAAGTTTCATACAGTAAGTATGCTCATGTATTACTAGAGATTTAGAGACTTCTAAACGAAGGGTGCATTACTTGATTTAAAAATAATTGAAATAAACACACACCATCTACTATCTATGATTATTTATTGAACATCACTGTTGAACAACTAAAATTAAAACACACATTGCCTAAAAAGAACAGTCAAAAAATAGAAACCTGGAAAAATTAGATCGACTATAGGTTCTGAATGTTGATTTCGATTACTTTTCAATAATTTGTCCAGCTCTATTGCCAACTACTCTGGCATATGTTTTACACAGCGTTTGCCCATCTAGCTGCAACTCAGTACTGGGAAATGTATATAACACACAAGTGTAAATTATGTTTATACATGCGAGTGTGAACAGTTGTGAAATAAATCACGTTCATCAGTATATTTGATCTGCGAAAAACTTGCAGTGGATGTCTTTTGTCACAGTAATAATTATACTCAACTAGGCCTAGCCCAATTGGCCAAATTTCTTATATTTGGGATATTGGTGCATGTACATTGCTGGAAGAAAACTGGGGTATCTGAGGGAGTTAAAACAACTCATAAACAAAACAGCTGCAGATTACTGGAAAACTACAAATCTGCCACTGAAATGAACTACATATCCCATCATGCACCTCACACACACTATTTCCACATCACTTGTGATTACTCACTCACAGCTGGAAACTCATCATGGACTGATTAGCTGGAACATTTACCTCTCATACGCACACATGGCTGAGTGTTGTTGTATGTTTACCTGTAACTTACAAAGTGTTTCGTAGTCCATTCTTGTCCTATTTCCTGACCCTTGTTTTGTTCTTTGTTTATCCTGTTTGCCTTTGCCTTTGAGCATGACTACACTTTTCAAGTACCCTCATGATACAGCTTGCTCCTGTTAACCATTACCTGCCTGTACTAAGCTGTAAATAAACTGCATTTGGACCCTCAACTCTGTTGTACCGACTCCATTGTTACCTAAATTGTTCCTTTGTGTCATTAAACTGATTGTGTATAGAATTAGAACAATTCTTAAAGCTCTTTATTACAATTATTTATTATTTTCTTACCTTCATGCAATTCTAGATTATATCCACTGACATTGCAGTGACACAAAAAGAAGGACTACATTTCTATACATCAAAGTTTGTGTTCCAAAGAGGAAAGGAAGTTTGTATACATCTAAGGTGAAATGACTGTAAGTAAAGTATACAGTTATCCAGTTTTTAAGCTATTAAAATCCAGTTTTGCAGTTGTATGAACTAAAATTTCAAATAAAAAAAAACTTTTCTGGGAAAGTATCACTTTTGATCAGCTTTTCACATACGTGGGCAAGCAAGTTGATCAAGGATTGGTGAAAACTGTTGATGCCAAAATTACAGCCATAATTGAATTCCATGTGCCCTTTAATAAGGGGGAGCTAAGATGGTACCTTATAATGAGTGGATATTACAGAAGTTTTTGTCCCAATTTTTCTTTAGTCTCTCCCTTCACAGAACTTCCGGTCTCGTTCACTTACATTGATTTTCACGATAAAAAACAGCTGGTTAAGCTGATTGATCCTGCAATCTGGTATTTTCTAATTATATTATTTTTATGTAAATTTTGTAGATCAAGGAGTTTTATTGCTATTTTATTATTATTATTATTTATTGCGTTTACTATTCTTAGTCAGTTCTCCTATAGACAACTGAGCCAGAAGTTCTAAAACAATCGCAGAGAAGTCAGTATTGTAAGTTGTTTTAAAGACAACCCAGCCCTATTCTGAGAAACGTACCCCTATATACATTTCTGGAGAGTGCCAAATACTTTTTGAGAACTCAAATTTCTTTTGTGAGTACCATTTGCACCTACTCTTCTTGGAAAATCTACCAGAGGCCGCTATCGACTGACTGTTTGACTGACTGACCCTCCATCCTCCATTTTACCTCATTCTAACCCTGTTATTTACTTATTTTAATTTTTGGCTTTGATGTTGTCTTATCGACTGTCTGGAACCGTTTTTCATCAAACTCGTACCCCGTCATCGTGGTCAACTCAACTCAACTCGTCTCTAGTCCGCTAATGTACTAGGCCAGCAGGAAAGCCGTCCTATGGAGGTAAGCAGTTACCTGGTAAATGCGAAAAGGAACGGTGTCATACGGGCCTGTAGTGCTCAATTTAAAAACAAAATGCTGCAATAAGTACTTCAGGCTACATAATTCACGATCTCCAGAAATGTATATAGGGCTACGTTTTCAGAACAAGCCTGCGTTGCTTAAAAAATCATCATTGTTACATTCCATTAACATTACAATTTAATTATATTAAAGTCCCAAATAAATCAAAACCATATTTATTTTGTTAGCTCACATTGTTAGTTTTGTGGTGAACAATTCATCTTTGCATGTCATTAAGAAAAAAACAGTTTGCCTTCTAATCATTTATTGAAATATAAAAATGCACTTCCTGTTTTTTTTTCAGTTAAATTGTCAGATTACGTATATTTTAGCAAATGGTTGTGGCTAACGTATTTAATCACACTGCTTCAACTGTCAGTTTTGACAACAAACAGAAATGCTGAGCTGGAGGAGTCTGTTAAGTTGTAAAAACTCTCTAAGTCTCCAAACACTTTTCCTACTACATCCAATCAGCTCCCAGTAGAAAAAACGAGCCAAGCCCACTGTTGTGTCATTTGAAATTTCGCTAGGAACTGCATCACAATACATGTGTATACAATTCATTGGGATTTGACGAATTGAACAGATAAAATGAACCAGAGAAGGTTTCAAAGTCAAAGAAGGCGGAGCCTCATAACCACACCCACCTGGACCAGTGACTGTTATAAACTTTGTTTCGGCCTTATTTTGGTTATTCTTTGATTTTAGCCTATAAAGGTCTTAATATTTTCATTCATTCATTTTCTTTTCAGCTTAGTCCCTTTATTAATCTGGGGTCAACTTATCCAGCACATGTTCCATGCAGCGGATGTCCTGCCAGCTGCAACCCATCTCTGAGAAACATCCATACACACTCATACACTACGGACAATTTTAGCCTACCCAATTCACCTGTACTGCATGTCTTTGGACTTGTGGGGGAATCCGGAGCACCCGGAGGAAACCCATGTGAACGCAGGGAGAACATGCAAACTCCACACTGAAACGCCAACTGATCCAGCCGAGGCTTGAACCAGCAACCTTCTTGCTGTGAGGCAACAGCACTACCTACTGCCCCACTGTGTCGCTGTCCTAATATTTTATGCATAAAAACACACATGATAAGACAACAAAGAATGAATCTGTAATAACACATTTATGAAATTTAACAAAAAAAAATAACTATTACAAATAGCACACATCTTCTTTTTTAATAATTTTAAACCTTCAGAGTTAAGGTGTGTATAATTTGAGAACGTTCGAGGTTACAGAAGTAACCCTTCGTTCCCCGAGGAGGGGAACGGAAGTGCCATGAATGGGAGGATTCGGATCAGAAGCCGCTTATCTGGAGAGTATTGAACGGGCCAATGAATGAAATTAATTGGCAGCGTAAGCTTGCGCAGGTGTGCGACATCTGCAATCATCTCAGCATATAAGCACACCTGAAGCCAGCAGACGCCATCCTTTTAAGCTGAAGAGACTTTCAAACAGCTAAGGGACAGTCATTATGGCGACGGAATATGGCACTTCCGTTCCCCTCCTCGGGGAACGAAGGGTTACTTCTGTAACCTCGAACGTTCCCCTTCGGTTGGGGAACTTCAGTGCCATGAATGGGAGAATATGGAAAGCGCCATAATGACTGCACCTTACCAACACCCCCGATGAGGAGATAGTCAAGCAAGCGTGACGCACCCACATCATGGGGGGCGCGGTCCTCCAACGTGTCCCTGGCCCTAATTTATCCTACTTCAACAGAAGTTTTACGGATTTAGATATATTTTTTGGGAAGTCGTGAGCATCTAGATAATTCTAGGAAATACGACAGTACGTTGGGAAGCGTGCAATCCCGAAGGGAGGACGCTGCGGAGGCCATCCGTTACCCAAGGGGGGGATAGATGGCAGAATTTACCTATGGACTAGCCCTAAAAAGGGGGAGTACGCATAGCAAAGAGTGGTTAGCGGAGAGGGAAGACACGGGTCCGTCCAGGGGGGGACTTAACCGTGGCGGAATAAGCATATGGGATCGCCTAGTGGGGATCACGCATAGCAGGCACCTATACCCAAAACGCGGGCTGACCAGCGGGCAGACCTACAACGTAGTGGGCCAGCAAGTGACTCCTCCGCTGAGTCAGTGCTGGGGGCCACGGAGGAATCTGCAGGGCTCACCTGACGGGGAACTTTACTGACAGATAAAAAAGGCGCACGTACCTCCGTGTTAGGGAGAATGGCGCAGCAAGCGTGTTTCAACACCCTACCGAG